CTTTTCTCCTCCAATGGTCTCACTGGGCACTCACAAAAAAAGATTAGCAAAAGTCCTGAGAAAGCATCCTTGAGGGCATAGCCTGGGGAAGGGGAATATCAGTTGCTGCAGGGAAGACATGAGACAAGGCTTGGATCCTATTGCCCCATATTTCCAACAGAACAAAAGTAGAACCAGCTGCCCAAGAACAGGCAATAAACACATCCTTACAGGGCTGGTAAATCCAACTGCAGCTGGGGAAAAATAATGGAATAAAAACCAAACCTCTGATCCTGGGAGAGAGGTGGGAATATGTGCTATGCCCAAAACTGCTGGGGGAAGGTAGAAACACTTTGAAGGTCACACCCCCTCAAGACCCAGGGACAGAGTGCCTGCCTGCCTGAGACTTAATCAGAACAGAGCACTTCATGGCTCAGTCCCCAGCCCCAGGCTAACAAGCACTATCAAGTAACAGTGGAGTCTGCTGGGAGAGCTACAAGGGCATGAAGAGACTCTGACACATACCAGGGAAGACCTAAAGCTGAGGGTGGAGCACACATTGAGAAAAACATTTGGTCAAACAATGCCATACCTTAAACACAGGTAACACTTGAGGAATCTGAAGTTCATGGTGTACTTAGGCTAACTGTAGCAACAACAAACTCAAGGATCTACACAAAGGAGTGAAGACTGCAGGAAATGGTAATCACATAAGTAAGTATTGAAGCTTTTTCCCCTCATTATTTATGTCTCTTTAAAAGAAAATTGACTATTTAAATAAAAAAAAGAATAAGAATATGTTGGGCTTCCCTGGTGGCACAGTGGTTGAGAGTCCGCCTGCCGATGCAGGGGACACGGGTTTGTGCCCCAGTCCGGGAGGATCCCACATGCCGCGGAGCGGCTAGGCCCGTGAGCCATGGCCGCTGAGCCTGCGCGTCCAGAGCCTGTGCTCCGCAACGGCAGAGGCCACAACAGTGAGAGGCCTGCGTACTGCAAAAAATAATAATAATAAAGCAGTTAATCCATCAAGAGGACATACCAATCCTAAATATTTACACATCAGTAACAGAGCTTTGGAATACACAAAGCAAAAACAGAACTGCAAAGAGGAATAAACTTCAAAGAGGAATAAACAAATGCACAATTTAATCTGATATTTCAATTCCTCTCTTGTAAGAATTGATAAAACGGTAAAGAAAAAATCGGTAAGAATATAGAATACTTGAACAACACGGTCAACCAATTTAACCTAGTAACATTTATAGAACACTGAATCCAACAACAAAGGAATACACACATTCTTCTTAAGTTCACATGGAACATTTAACAAGACAGACCATTGTTATGGGCTGAATTGTGTTACCCCCTGCTGTTTGGTCCCATCCTGTTGATGGTGATGCTCTTGCCTAGGAACTAGGAACAACTGAGGCACTCACCAAGCTTGTGGGGCCAGTGTTGTGGCTGGACTAGCCCGTTGGTTCTTATAATGATTGCAGTACACACTTCAGCCAGAAACCATCAGGGAACTTTGAGGAACAAGATTTACTACTCATAGGTCCTGGAGGGTACGCAGCACACTCAAGGGCCATGAAGCAAGGTCACAGGTTGAGAGAGAGAGAGCACAAACCTGGGGCTCTGCCTTTGTTAGGGCCCAAGCGTGGGGTGTTTAGGGTTTCACAGGTTCACTCTTTATTGGCTAATTTAAAGCATAAGAGAGGGAATTAGGGAATGGAAAGGGAGAAGCTAAAAGAATGTTGAAGAACAAAGTTGGAGGGCTAATAATACCTGTTTTCAAGGTTTATTGTAAAGTTACAGCAATCAAGGCAATTTGATCTTGACATAAAGATAGAAAATTATTTCAGTGGAACAGGATAGACCCATATACATGTGGACAACTGATATTCAACAAAGGTACAAAAGCAATAGAGTGAAGAAAGGATAATTTTTTCAGCAATGAGCTAATCCACATCTCAAATCATGTGGAATTCTCAATAAGATATTTCTCATCTGAAACCATCAAGGCCAGAAGGCAGTGAGATGATATATCAAAGTGCTGAAAGGAAAAAGACTGTCAAGAATTCTATATCCACAAAACTGTCCTTCAAAACTGAAGGAGAAATTAAGACATTCCAGATAAACAACTGAGATAATTTGTCACTAACAAACCTTCCCTACAAGAAATGCTAAAAGGAGTCCTTCAGAAATGAAAGGTTACTAGACAGTAACTCAAATCCACATGAAGAAATAAAGAGCACCAATAAATGTAACTACATAGGTAAATATAGAAGACATTATAAATATATTTTTTGTCTGTCATAGTCAGCTCTGACTACTGTAACAAATTACCATAGACTGAATGACTTAAACAACAGATTTATTTCTTACAAGTTTGGAGACTGGGAAGTCTGAGATCAGGGTGCCAGCATGGTGGCATTCTGGTGAGGGTCAACTTCCTGGCTTGTAGACAGCTGCTTTCTCACTATATCCTTACGTGGTGGAGAGCAGAGAGAGAACTAGCTCTCTTCCTCTTCCTATAAGGACACTAATCCCATCATGAGGGCTCCACCCTCATAATCTAATTACCTCCCAAAGTCCCCACCTTCAAATACCACCACATTAGAGCTTCTGTATATGAATTTTGAGGGAACACAAACATTTCCTCTATAGCATTGGTTGTAACGCCTTTTTCTCTTATCTGATATAAAAGACAACTTCATAAAGCAATCATTATAAACCCATGATGGTGGATATACAATGAATAAAGATGTAATTTATATGGCAATAATAGCAAAAAGGAAGGGGAGACAATGGAAATAGATAGAAGCAAAGTTTTTATATACTACTGAAGTTAAGATAGTATTAATCCAAACTAGATTGCTATAGGCTGAGATGTACAGTAATCTTCAGGGCAACCACTAAGAAAATAACTCCCCAGGCCCCTCCAGTCAGGCTTATCACCACTCAAGAGATTTTGCTCCCGTGGCCAGCAGAAAGGGCACAGCCTTCAGGGCCAGACAAACCATGATGCAAATTTTAGCCTGTTATGTGATGCTGGGTGGTTCATTTTCCACATCAGTAAAGTGGGGATTAAAAAAATCTACCCTGGGGCTTCCCTGGTGGCGCAGTGGTTGAGAGTCCGCCTGCCGATGCAGGGGACGCGGGTTCGTGCCCCGGTCCGGGAAGATCCCACATGCCGCGGAGCAGCTAGGCCCGTGAGCCATGGCCGCTGAGCCTGCGTGTCTGGAGCCTGTGCTCCACAACAGAAGAGGCCACAGCAGTAAGAGGCCCGCGTACCGCAAAAAAAAAAAAAAAAAATCTACCCTGTAGAGGTGCCATATGCATTACACAGTGTCAGGCACATAATAGGGAGTCCTTATATGGAAAACATTATTACTGCTATTATTATTATTATTATTGCTATTCTCCGACTACCCAGATCCTCTATGACCTTCAGTCTCTCCAAGGTTCAACCCCTAGCAAGTCATCTCTGACTATTCCTTTCCTCATCTAGTGTGTTTAAGTAGCAAACAATTGATCACTCTCTAGATATTTATATCAATAAATGTTGTTTCTCAACTAGGCAGTAAGCAACTTGAAAGCATATATTATATTCTAGTGCAGAGCACCTCTTCAGCTGTAGTACAGCACAGTGCTTAAAATCCTAGACTTCCAAGCGAGACTGGATTCATATCCCAGCTTCTTCATTTATTATCTAAATGATTCTGGGCAAGTCACTTGACCTCTCTGTGCTCAATTTCCCCATCTGTGAAATGGGACAACAATAATACTATAGTGCCCACATAGTGTGGCTGTGGGGCTTAAATGGAATAAGAAGAGTGTCTGGCACAGAGTATCTGCTTAATTATTGTCTGTTGAATAAATTGACTCAAAGTCCAGAATTCTAGATAGCAAGTAGCTGAAATTAGGTCAACTGACACAAATTAATCTTCACCTTCCACCATAAAAATTCATTTTGGAAACACAGCCCTTGCTTTGGTAAATTTGCTTTATTACAGCAACATAGTAAGATAAAATAGTTGCCAAAGTTGTTTTTCAGGAAATGGTTTGAGACTAAACTGAAAGCCCTAAACCTAGTAATCAGGAGGGTATCCTGATAAACTGCCTATATGTGTGTTCCTCACGGGACTCACAGCTCTGGGAGAGAGACCACCATTGTTTTGTCTAATTAATAGAGGAAGGAAATAAGACATGAAAAGCTTGCCTTTTGAAGATATTCAATATTATTTGTGTTCCAGGAAAACCACCTGGGAGTAGTCATTATTATCCCTGTTATACAATAGAAGAAATCGAAGCTCAGAGAGGTTACCCAAGGTCATACAGCCGGTGAGTTGGCAGGGCCGGATTCAAACCCAGATCTCCCTGATTCCTGAGGTCACACTCCCCCCCCCCCCAAGGTGAAGTTCCCAGGTGAGGCTGCCTTGAGCAGAGAACAGGGCTGCCTCAGACTTCTTGTGAAAACACACAGAGACAGACAGCACTCTACTCATGGAGTTTTGACTCATGCTCACCCTCAGGACTGAGGGACTGGTTTTCTCCTGGCTGAGAAGTGTCTCTGGGTTTACAGAAATGCACTCAAGATCTTAGAGAAAAATGGAGACCCAACTTATGAGAGACGGAAGCAGGCACTGCCACAAATCCACCACCTCTTGTGCAAAATGATCTCAGATGCCCTTCACCTTGGCTGGGGGACATGCCCCATCCCCCATCCCGTCGCTCACAAACACTAAAGGCAGAGATGAAAGTGCCTGCCTTCACACAAGAGCCACTTGTGTTTCCCTCCCCGCTCAATGCACCACTTGGGAGGGCCTTTCAGTTACTTCTCATAACGCAAGTGACTTTGTTTTCTCTGCCACAAGTAATAAGGGGCAGAAGGAGGTGTCTACTTTGTTGCCAGAGCCTGCCCTGGAATTAGCTTTGCACCATTCGGAAGACCCAGCCTTGCTGAGCGCTGAGCCTAGCAGCCCCTTGGCGAGACAGCGATACTCCCCAGCTCCCCAGTCATGTCCTGGCAGCTCTCTGCAGTGGTGGTGCTCTTCGTGTCCCTGGCCGGTGAGTGACACACATGACTTTCCATGGTGACCCTGCCGCATCCGGTCCTATTAAATGTAAATGCATTCTAGTGCCAGTGACCAAGGTGGGACAGGACAGATTGGAGATAGCTATAGTGGCTTCAGCTACTGTGGGTATTTGACTTGGGAATGCCTCTTTATTACCTTACATGTGGAACACACCTTCATTTTTTTTCCCAGGGGCTTTCACAGTTTGGACTTGTTTTCCATGAGTCAGGCAGAGTAGGTGTCAACCGTGGAAGACAGTGACACTCCCCCTGGTTCCCAAATGGTCTGTAGGCACCAGATTAGGGAGAGTTTGTACAAATCTCTTCGATTTAAGAGATGGAGAACTGAGCCAGGGCTTAGAAATGGGACTCTTGCCAAGAGCCTGGGGAAATCATGTCATGCCTTGCTTTTTCTGCTTTTCTTAAATGGAACGCTATGTGTATATTATGTAACAGTGAGTTGTGAAGATGAACGAGATGTGGTCTGACAAACTGCCATCTGAGAAAGATGTAAGCCAGGGCATCAAAGATTTCTTGTTTCATTACCAGTATAGGTCAGATCAAAGAGACTGTCTGGGAAGCTGAGATTTTAATGATTGTTTTATGTCTGTGCCCCCTGCTTTCACCAAGAACATTTTCTCCCTAGGACGTTGAGTCCCCTTATGTGCTTTATCAAGTTTGCTGGTTGATTCACAATTCCTCCTACTACCACTGACTTGAACATGTGAGGGAACTAGCTCTGTCCACATGGCCTCACTAACACGCTCAAATGGGAGACACAGCTGCACTTGAGTGTAACATGAATTGTCATGAAAGTTGGGTGAAAGGTCAGGCCAGCTACCCTAATCCAGGCTGTTTTTCTTTGTGCCACACTTTCAGAATTATAGTTTCACATTCTTTTGGAGGCAAAATGTAAAGTAATCATTATATTTAGCAGAGCAAGCCAATAAAAAAGCAGAAGATCTCAATGTAGCAGTAACCCTCAGTGACCTGTCTGTGGGCGCCAATTCAATGGCTGGCAGACGACTGGTGGATTCAGGAGGGCAATGAACGTGTGATAAATGCACAGGCAGGTGGAAAGGAAATGCCCACGTTGCCCTTTCGTCTCTGAGCTGTGCATTCTTAGAGGTGAACATGGGCGCTCAGCTAACAAATGGCAGCCCTGAGATTTGCACCCAGGAAGTTCACCTTCGGGGTCCATGCTCTGCACTTCTGCACTACACTTCTGCATGCATATGTTCAAGAAATACTTGTTGAATTGCATGTGAGCAAAAACCATTCGACATTTTGCTTGGAGAGACATAGCTTTTAGGTAAGCTAACTATGTAATCTTTATCCAGTCACTTTGCTTCCCTGATCTCAAATTAGAACCCCATAAAATGAGGAGATTTAAGTTTGTATCAGTTAAGTTTAGGTTCAGCTGCACATAAGAGACAAGCACCAAATAGTGAATTAAACAAGATAAGTGTTTGTTTCTGTCTCAAGTGAAAACAAGTCCAGAGGAATTCAGACCAGGTCTGTGTAGGGACTCATTCTTCTGGACCCACCATCCAATGCGTGACTTCCACCTGCAAGGTCTCCTCATGGTTCTAGATGTCTGCTGGAGCTCCAGCCATCACATACACATTACAGGCTGATTAAAGGAGGAAACAGGAAGGCAATAGAGAGGCCCCCTAGGTGACTGAGCTCCCTTCAAGCAGCCTTCCCAGAGGCCCACATAACCCTACGACTTCTATTGCTTTGGCTTGAACTCAGTCACATTCCTACCCATCTGGAAAGGAGGCTTAGAGATGGGGGGCTTTATTCCATGCAGCAAGTGCTCAGCTTAAACTCATGGTTCAGTTACTAAGGAAAAAGGAGAGACTGGATTTTGGCATAGTCAGCCAGCAGTTTCTGACACAGGGCTAGAGCCCCTTCTGCTCAAGGGTTTTCTTTGAGCCTCAAGTCCCACGGAAAACTGACAGAGGCAGGATTTACATCTCTCTACTAAAAGGCCTAAGATTAAACTGTGAAACTGTGAGCAGAATCTTGTCAAGGGCCCACCCCTGCTGCCCCACACATCCAGAAACCGTCTTCCTGCTGCATCCAGCTAGGGCTACCTCTGCTGCCCGGGGAGGTGCCAGAGAAAGTGCTCAGGAGTTACGCTCGACTCCCTGCCCCTGGACATGGCCACAGCATTCCATCTACTCCCCAGCTGTGCTCCTTAGAGCTCTGCAAAAGGTAGCCTCTGAGACCTTCCAGGTCTGCTTGCTGCTGGCCCTCCCCCGACCCCTCCTCACACCCTCCCAAGCTCCCATGATGCTGACTCTTTGCTGTTCTGCAGAGACATTCCAGGCTCTGAAGCCCAATGCCTTTACACATACTCTTTCTCCTGCCTGTGGGATGCCATCTACTTTCCTGTCTGCCTGAAGAATTTCTCCTTGTGATGGATTCCCCACTTCACCCCATAGCACTCAGGGCCTGCTTCAATAATAACACCTGGGCTCCCCTGCTGGCCTGCTGGTTGAGAATCCACCTGCCAATGCAGGGGTTCTGGGTTCAAGCCCCGGTCTGGGAAGATCCCACATGCCGCGGAGCAAGTAAGCCCGTGCGCCACAACTACTGAGCCCGCAGACCACAACTACTGAGCCCACGTGCCACAACTACTGAAGCCCGTGCCTAGAGCCCATGCTCCGCAACAAGAGAAACCACCGCAATGAGAAGCCCATGCACCGCAACAAAGAGTGGCCCCCGCTCGCCGCAACTAGAGAAAACCTGCACACAGAAACAAAGACCCAATGCAGCCAAAAATAAATAAATAAATAAATTTATTAAAATAATAATAATAATAATAACACTTGTCACACTGAGGAGTATAGTCCATTTCTGTGTCTGCCTCACAAGGCTTTGCCCCCCTGAGAACAAAGACCTAACCCCAGTGCCTGGCCTGCAGCTTGGCTCAGAGGAGGCGCCTCTGTATCTGCTGAATTGGGTGTGGCAGGGAAACCAAACTAAGGCTCTCTGGGAAGGCCTGACTGCCTGGGAAATACCTAAAGAAGCAGTCCTTGTGTGGTCACTGGCTTTCCCAGGGCCTGGCCGATGGGTTATCTCTCACTCCTCCTGTGAGTTGTAGGGA